TGCCAGGGGACGTGCCATGGGGTCGCACCGCGGGACGTGCCAAGGGGACGCGCTACGGAACGTGCCAATGGATGTGCCACGGGATGTGCCAGGGGACGCGCCACGCGACGTGCCAAGGGGATTCGCCAAGGGACGCCCCACGGAACGTGCCAGGAATCTCGGAAAAACAAACGAATTAGTCGAGACATCCTCGAAATTCTTGCGCGCGGCACGCTTTTCCTCGTCTCTGTCGGGGCTCCAGACTTTGTTTTTGTTTCTATGGTTCTAGGAAAAAAAAAAACCGCGCCCTCTTTGTGACGAAGGAAAACGGGGGTCCGCGGACCCCGTTATTTATGGAGGATTCGAGGTGGGGAGTCGACTTTCCTCGAGCGGGCACGCGCGAAACGAATATTGTTCACGCCGCCGAGTTGGACTTCACCCCGTTGTGCATCGAGCGGAAATCCGCCGGTCTCCTTCAAGTCAAAACCGGGGGTAATCCATCTAATGAAAGAGAGCCATGGGCCCGCGCCCTTTCCGGGAAAAAACACAGGATTTGCAAAATTTCAATACTTCGTAGACAAGCTTTTTGCACAGCATACGCGAGCAAGCTCGAAATACAACACCGAATTCAACAATATCATCAGAATCTCAACTTGTCGTGCCGATTACTCATCGTCTTCGCGTGAGGTCCCGACGCTGCTTCACGGCGGCGTCAAGGCCTCATGATTTCGCTCTTGCATTGCCCATTATCCGAGAGAGGGGGCCGGCGGCAGGGGCGAAGCCCTTACGGATAACCACCTGGACCCACAGACATTGGATTCACGGGGCACTGCGCGTTAGGCATCATGCTGTGCACGGAGCTGTGGCGTTGCAGACCCATGTTGTGATCTTTCGGGGGAAGAGTTTCCCAGGGTGAGGAGAGGGGAGGAGGGAGAAGGCGAGGGGAGCGGAGAGGAGGAGAGAGGGGGGCGGAGGTTGGAGGGGAAGTAGGAGGACAAATGAGGGAGGAGGGAGGAGGGAGGGGGAGAAAGGAAGAGGAGGAGGAGGAAGTGGAGGAGGAGGAGGACGAGGAAGGAGGGAGGCGGATGGAGGAGGGGCGAGAAGGCGGGAGGAGGGGAGGGGAGGAAGACGAGTAGGACGAGGAACAGGAGGGAGGACGAGGAGGGCGCAGACAAGCGAAGTGTCAAGGTCGGAAGCTCGAGCGCCACAGCGGGCTCAGCCACTTCCTCGAACACCTTCAATAACATGTGAATGCTCGAGCGCCGCAGCGGGCCTGGCCATCACACAAGCTCCTCCCATACCTATACGACCACCCTTCGGGTGATAAGGAGGTTGTGGGAGGGGGGCAGGGGGGGGAATCTCATTATCGATCTCACCCAACGGGACACCACTGGACACAACTGGACACTTGTCGGTCTCACTATCGATCTCACTCAACGGGATACCACGGGACACAACGGGCTGCCACGGGACACCACGGGACACCGCGGGACACCTCTCGATCTCACGATCGGTCTCACCATCGCTCTCACTATCGATATCACTCAACGGGCCACCATCGGACACCGCGGGACACCACGGGACACCTCCGGACACCACATCGATCTCACTATCGATCTCACCATCGATCTCACGATCGATCTTACTCAACGGGACCCCACGGGACACCACGGGACACCTGTCGATCTCACTATCGATCTCATTATCGATCTCACTCAACGGGACACCTCGGGACACCACATCGATCTCACTGTCCATCTCACTATCGAGGCGATCTCACGATCGATCTCACTCAACGGGCCACCATAGGACCCCACGGGACACTACGGGACACCACGGGACACCGCGGGACACCGCGAGCCACCGCCAGACGGACGGACGGACGGACGGGCGGGCGGGGGATGCTGGGAATGCTGGGAAGACGGCGGATCCCGGACGCACGGACGGACGGATGCTGGGAAGACGGCGAGATCCCGCTCAGCTGGCACGAGTCCTTGGTGATCGCCATCTTCAAGAAGGGCGACCCGTCTGCGTGCGAGAACTACAGGCCCATCTGCCTGCTGCAGGCCGGATATAAGCTCTTCGCGGCACTTCTCCTGCGCCGCCTGAAGCGAGCAGGGGCCGAAGACAGAATTTGGCGGACGCAAGTTCGGGTTTAAATCAAAGCATGGCACCACAGACGCCATCTTCATTGCGAGGCGCAAATTGGAGGAGGCGTCTGCGCGGCAGGACAAGCCGCTGGTGCTTCTTGCGCTTGACTGGGCTAAGGCGTTCGACAGCGTCATGCCCGATGCTCTCGTCGCAGCCCTGCGACGCTTCGGGCTGCCGGACAAGATGTTGCAGATTGTCAAGGCGATATACACCGACAGGCATTTCGCAGTTCGCGAGGCTGGCAAAACCTCGGGGCAGCGGCAGCAGCAGGCTGGCATCTGCCAGGGTTGCCCCCTATCGCCGTTCTTGTTTGCCATTATGATGACTGTCCTCCTCCAGGATGCGAAGGCTTCGCTCGGCGACGCCGCTGGCGACGTCAGCGACCTGGTGTACGCGGACGACACGCTGATCGTCGCCCCGGGCGCTGCGGAGGCGGAGTTGTACATGAAGGCCATCTCGGACGCGGGCGCCAACTACGGTCTGAAGTACAACTGGAAGAAGCTGGAGGTCATGGCCACAGGGTGCAACGCCGCTGCCATGCTCATGCCGGACGGCTGCCCAATCCCAGAAAAGAAGAGCATGGTGTACTTGGGGAGCGTCCTGACGTCCGACGGGTCCGTCGGAGCAGAGCTGAACCGGCGGGTTGGCCTCGCCCGATCCGTTTTTGACTCTTTGCAGCGCGTCTGGTCTCACTCTTCTCTGTCGACCAAGCGGAAGCTTACTATATACGCAGCATGTGTTGAATCGACGCTCCTATATAGTCTCCACACGCCTTGGTTACGTCAGCACGAGTTATCGAAATTGAATGCGTTTCAGGCGCGGTGCCTGCGTAAAGTTTTAGGCATAGCGCATTCATATGTCAGTCGCGTCTCCAACGCCGAGGTCCTACAGCGAGCCCGGCGCACCAAGCTCAGCGACCTTCTGTTGCAGCGGCAATTGATTTTGTTCGGTGATGTTGCGCGCAAATGCAACGACCACCCTGTCAGGCAAGTCGTTTTCCAACCTTCCTCCTCCAACTTGACGCAGCAGCCCGGCCGCCGGAAGAGGGGCAGACCCCGGCAGGCGTGGGCGTCAGAATTGTATAAGCATGCGCAGCGTATTTGTCGTGATGCCAGTTGCAGCGTAAGTAATTTGGACACCTTTTCAGCGGAAGCCTGGAAAGCAGCAGTGCGCAAGTATATTGTCTAGCGCACGATCGTGCCTTTGCTCATGTGCCTACGGACACGCGGCTTCATTCATTCATTCATTCATTCTTGACTTCGCCCTAGCAACGGCGGACACAACGGGATGGGACTTCGCGGGACATCGCGGGCCACCGTCGGACGGACGGACGGACGGGAAATTCGCCGGCCCAACGGGCCAGGGCGTGCTAAGATCTCCGGTACCTGGTTAACAGTATTTCTAGTTCGCGCGCGCGGGGCGGCCCCTGGGGGTCCCCGGACGAAAAGTACCCCGGCAAGGTCCCGGCAAGGTCGGGTCAGAGATGCCGGAGTTCTGTTACAGGGCCCCAGGACGGGCCAAGAGGTCCCCAAGAAGCCTCCAAGACGGTCCAAGAGGGCCCCGAGACGGCCAAAGATCGCCCGAAGACGCCCAACAGGGCCCCAAGACAGCCCAAGAGGCCTCCAAGACGCCCCAAGGGCCTTCCAAGAGGCCTCCGAAGAGGGCCCCAAGAGGCCAAAATCGTTGATTTTCATTGTTTTTTCGATGTTTTTTGCGTTCTGGCTTTTTCGGCTTCCGGACGCTCCAAGACGGCCCAAGAGGCCCCCAAGACCGCTCCAAGACGGCCCACGAGGCTCCCAAGACGGCCCCGGAACGGCCCGGCCCAGGAGGGCCCCCAAGACGGCCCAAGTGCCGCCCAAGACGGACCAAGAGGCCCCAAGACGGGCCCAAGAGGGGCTCAAGCGGGGAACCGAGAACTGAAAAATCGAGCCCTCCGCCCCAGAAGGCGCCCAGGAGGCCCCAAAAAGGCCCCAAGAGGCCCCCAAGAGGCCCCCAAGACGCCCCGCCCCAAGAGGCGCCCAAGAGGCCCAAAAGAGGCCCCAAGAGGCCCCAAAACGGCCCCCAAGAGGCCCCAAAACTCGGCTAGCCCACAACGGTGCGACAATATGGGCCGGCGGAATGAGCGAAGCGATTAAATAATCATTTGTCTTGACTTCGCCCTAGCAACGGCGGACACCACGGGACACCGCGGGACACACCCCAGGACCCAATTCCGAGTTCCCCGGGACCCTCCAGGACCCATCCCCGAGAACCTCCTCCCAGGACCCAGCACCAGGAACCAGCCAGCCCCCAAAAAGTCCAGGACTCCCAGGCCCCAGGCCTTGCTCGCCTCGTCCTGTTCCTATGGATTTCCCCCTCTCCTCCTCCTCCTCCTCCTCCTCCTCCTCCTCCTCCTCCTCCTCCTCCTCCTCCTCCTCCTCCTCCTCCTCCTCCTCCTCCTCCTCCTCCTCCTCATTCCCCCCCCTCCTGCTCCCTGACGTCTTCCGCCTCCTGCTCCTCAACGTCCTGGTCTTGCTCGTCGTCTCCGTCTGAAGGGTCGGCGGCACCGGCCGTAAGGCCTTCGCAATATATAAGGGTGCCCTTGGGAAGGCTACCCATCGGTCAAAATAGGTGGGTCGACGCGAGAAATTGGAAATCGTTGGACATATGTTGGGTCTCCGCCCACATCCTAAGAACGGAGAAAGAGGGAAAACCGCTAGACTCTTGAAATAGGACGGCGCTCGCAAGCAGATCCGGATTTGGATATCCCAGAATACCTATTTTCAACGACCGACGGGTACCCATCCCTGCCACCGGGTTTCGACTACAACCCACGGCACTGGGCGGGCTCCCCGAGCCGAGCGTCCGCAGCCCCTCCGCCCATGCGGGGCCTGCACCATGCAGCCGCCTTGGCACGGCGCGGCGGCACCGCCACCTCGCCGCACCCCCCCCCGCGCGCGCTTCGTTCAGGTTCCCCCCCCCCCCAGCCAAAAGGCAACCCCCTCGTCCAGGGCTGGGCGAGGGGAGGAGCGGGAGGCGGGGAAGGAGGGAGAGCTTTCCCCCCACCCTCTCCCCAATCCCCTCCTTCCCCTCCCCCTCCTCCTCCCCCTCCTCATTTTCCTCCTCCCCCTACTCCCCCCGGCCTCTTCGCTCGCTCCTCCTTTCCTCCTCCTCCTCCTCCTCCTCCTCCTCCCCCTCGTCCTGGTCCTCGTCCTCGTCCTCCTTCTCCTTCTCCTCCTCCTCTTCTTCCTCCTCTTCCTCCTCCTTCTCCTCGTCCTCCTCCTTGTCAGAGCCACGCGCTCCTCGGGGTACGGGGTCCGAGTCAACTGCATGCGGCAACTGGGGGCAGCTAACTCGCGCCTGTCGGAACCAGCCACGTGGCGTTTTCCCCGCGGCAGCGGCGCTAGCCGCGCTCCGTGACCTGGAGATGGGTACCAGACAGGGGGGATTGCGCATTTGGTTGAGAGGCGGGGCCATGTGGCCTCTCATGGTGGCCGTGTGCCCGCTCACCCTGGGGAACAAACCCAATGGCGCATGCCAGCTGATTGGTCAGGGGTTGATACGTAGTCGAAAAAATACCTCGCAGTAGCGACGTGAACCAGCCGTCCCCCTACGCCCCACGCCGTCTCGGCTGGAGGCAAGCCGCTGGGCGACAAAGAGCTGCCTATCCCCTGTTCGTCGGTGCGCGCGCCTTCGGGCCCGCTTCCTGCCGGTTGCCTGCAATTGCGGACAGCGGTGTGCACTGCGCACTTCCCGGATCCGTGACTCCATGACTCCATGACTCCATGACTCCATGACTC